CTATTTTACAGGAGCGACCAAACCATGGCTGAGACTTGCCTCCAATGGGCACCACAGAGGAAGGAATAAAAAGTTCCATACCCTGAAGTACCACATCAGCGGCAGAATCCGCAACAACGTTGGGATCATCCGGCGAGAAGCAAACCCGCCCCCAAGGGTAGGATGCACAGAAAGACCGCATCCCATCCCAATCGGCTGACCTATAGTGCCAAACACGGCGGCAGCCTGCAGAATGCAACCGAGATTTCAGCGTGAGTGGCACCACACTCCGGACAAGACAATGGTCCGAGGAGCCTAAAGGGGCGTCGACGGATATCTGATATCCGTCCGGGTGAGTGCATACGTGCAACAGCAAAGCTGCCGCGTGGCTCTACCACTGTTAAGAGCCCTTATGAGCTAATGACAAATTATTTTTGTATGTTATAGCCAGCTTCATGAGAAGTAGTATAGTCTATCTAGCTATACTTCTCAGCAAGAAAATATTCGAAATTTGGCCTCCTCAAGGTTTAAAAAACTTTACTATACAAAGTATAAAAGGGGTTATTATAATATTAAGGAATTTGAGGATGATAATAACCCCTGCGAATTAGGTGATCGCAAATGCTATAGAGATTCCTAATAAAATAATATACTATGTGATTTTTCTATGTGGAAATAAAAAAGAATTTACGAAAAAAAGTGATTTACACGATATAAACAACCATGTAAATTATTGTTCAAATTATATTATGTTACAATTTTACCTCTCTGCTTTGTAAGTGTGAAACTCTGTTGTCCGCTTAGTGTGCTATTACATATTTTAATAATATTTGTTAAAAAATACTTTAAAGTTTCCTAATAAAATAAAAAAGGAACAAACACAGGCCAGTCATACTAGTTTCTCAACTCCAGTCGGTATTAATTCATGGGGAAATGTGCACGATGCTGCTACAAAAAAGTCGCAGAAGATATGTCTCCCATTAACAAGTTTAAATATTTTACTAAACGAAAAAGGTACAAAACGGGTTACGATAATAAAAATGAAACATGGTTGATGATATCCCTTTGTAGTTAAGTAGTTGCTTTCAAGCTGTCTCTTAAATAAGTTTCTTAAGTAGTTTGTAAAACCTGTATTTATATTGTTTAATTTTCGTTTAGGTTTCTTACCAATTCTCCTCACAACGGAAGTTTTGTTCCTTAAAGTTAAAAACACTCAATAAAAATTACTTACTCATTACAGCCCTTCACAAGTCCACTGCTGAACATAGGCCTCCCCCAATGAATGCCACAAAGCACGGTCCTGAGTCACCTGCATCCGTCGACTTCTTGCATGTCTCAAGAATCTTTTTTCCTCATCAGTTGTAGGTTCTTCGAGCTACATGGCCGGCCCATTACCACTTCAGCTTACTAATGCTTTGAGTTAACATTTGTCTGATATGAGACGTGGTCTTTCACTGCTGGCGTATGAGGAAGCTCAAGGTCGCTCAGCGAGCTATAGAGAGGGCTATGCTTGGGATTTCTCTGTGTGATAAACTCAGAAATTAGGATATCCATAGTAAAACCAGAGTGACTGACATAGCCCAACGGATTAATAAGCTGAAATGGCAATGGGCCGGCCATATAGCTCGAAAAATAACATGCTTGTAATTATTATTAGATAAAAAAATATTCTATCCTTATTCCGTAACATTTTAAATAGTCGCTATCTACGATACCTAAAATAAAAGTAAAGTTACAACCTATAGACGTCCCACAGCTGGACACAGGCCTCCCCTCATTTTTGAGAGGGTTTTAGAACAAGAAAGTGTGCGCCGCGCTGCCCCAATACGTGTTGGCGAACTTCACATGTCTTCGAAATATTTTTTTCTTATTCCTCATGCAGGTTCCTTCACGATATTTTCCTTCATTGCCGAGCACGTGGCATATCAGCACTTAAAATTGCAATTAACAATTTCATTAGTGCCGGCGGGGATCGAACCCGGGTTACTCGCGTTCTGTTATATTTACAGCGAGCGTTAACCATCTGAGCTACCACGGCTCTTTACGATATCTACGTCAGATAAAATGGTTTGATAGTTTTTATTACATCGTCATCATATAGCACTGTTTACTTATAAAATTAACATATAAGAGATATAAGAAAAAACACGATTTTTTTATAGAATAATGGTGAAAAATTAGGAGACCGTCCAACTGATGATAAGTGGATGCTTTGGCCACAGATATTGTATTTTGTCCTCGATTAAGAATAAAATGAAGATTAGCATCTTCATTTTACAACACACTTAAGATAATTTTACGAGGTATTAGGTTACCTAGTTCTTGATGTGACACCAACTTCGAACAAAGAGATCTCAACGCAATAGCTGTAGTTCCGTATAATATTTCGACGAGAGGACCTGTAGAAAGATATTTAATATTAGTTTTGAATAAAGATTTTGTACAATGTAAAACATGCTGTGAAGACCAGTGTTAAATTATGCCACAACAAAAGTCAAGTCAGTCTTTAGAGAAAAGAAATAGTTGAAAAAAAAGCAAGAAAGAACGGATAAGAATAATATCGGATAACCTCTAAGCAAATATTAAAATCTTCTGGAAACTCATAAGAACTGCCATTCTGAACTGACATTCTAAACAGCCTAGAATGAATGCTATAAGAAACGAGAATGGCTGTATTCTGAATGATGAAATTTTGAGTTTAAGAAGTTTTTGAGGTTAAGAGATGGAAGGAATATTTTGAAAGCATATTTATGAGTGAGTAGACGACGTTTGTACTAAATGAAATAGAAATTCCGAAAGTAGCGGAAAGAGGTAGGGGGATAAGTAAAGATGAAATAATGAAAAGCATGAAAACAGGTAAGGCAGCCGGATATGATAGAGTTTCACTGGAAATGCTAAGGGCGGAGAGGAAGTTATGGCAGGCCTGCTGTACACCTTGTTAAATTTATGCTGGAAACTGAAGCGGGTACCGGAAGACTAGTACTGCAAAACCGTGATAGTCCCAATATATAAAAGAAAAGGGTCGCAGTAGAATTGTAAAAACTACCATTGTATCAGCCTTCTTAGCATTCTCGAAAACTGTTTGTTAAGGTACTAATTGAAAGGGTCATGAAAGAAACCGATGGAAAAATTTGGGACGTGCAAGCGAGATTTAGAAAGGGAATGGGATGTACAGATCAAATTTTTTCCATGCGCATAATCGCGGAAAAGTTTTTGGCCAAAAACAAAAGAGTTTCTTGTACGTTCATGGACTTGGAAAAGGCTTATGACAGGGAGGACAGGGATGTGTTACGGCAAATATTGAATTCATTTGGGTTGACCGCTGGGTTGATATAGGCATTAAAGTCTCTTTATAGGGACTCTAGTGCTCGTGGTAGGATCAACTGGGTCTACTCGGACTGGTTTGACATCCATAAAAGTGTCAGGGCTGCATGACTTCCCGGTGGCTGTTCAACCTATTTATGGACAGTTGTTTGGAAAATTTGAAAATTGAAGAATGCGGAATAAGAATGGGTGAGTTAATAGTCAAATTCCTTTTGTACGCGGAAGATCACATTATTTTTCCCGTTGGCGTCGTCGGCGGACGAGTTACAAATTGAAAGTGAACGCAAGTAAAGCGAAAGTTATGGTTTTTGAAAGATAGAAAGTAAAACTATATGTGAAATAATAATAGAAGGAGAGTTGGTCGAGCAAGTGGATGAGTTTGTATATTTGGGATGTGTATTCAGCAGGGATGGGAGATATTATAAGGATATAGAACGACGAGTGAACGAAGGAAATAAAGCAAATGGGGGCTCTACATTCTATTGTGAAGAGTCAGAATGTGTCGAAAAAGGCATTGAAAAGGCATATGGCAATTCACAATGCTGTGTTAGTCCCTACTTTAACGTATGGTGGTGAAAGTTGGGTATGGCAGAAGAAAGACGAGAGTAGAATATATGCAGTAGAAATGCGGTCGCTAAGTAGTATGTTAGGGCTGAATCTGAGAATCTAAGAAATTGTGTGATAAAAGAAGAGTGTGTTTTGCAAGATGATGCTGTGACCAAGACTAAGAAAGTAATGCTTCGATGGTTTGGTCATGTAAAAATAATGAATAAGGAAAGAGTGACAAAGCAAATTAATGTTGCAGAAGTGAATGGAAGAGTCGGAAAAGGACATCCTAGGCGAAAATGTATCGACTAAATTGGCGATATATTGAAAATGGGCCAAATTAGGAGTACCCTTAACCGACGAGCATGTATGCGCAGGATATGAATGTTGAGGAGGCGCAAGAGGTGTGTCAAGATCGTGCCAAATGGAAGTATGTAGTCTCTGCCTACTCTTCTGGGTGACGGGAATGAATATTTATGTATGTATGCAAAAGTCAACTCAAACTAGGAAATAACGTAGTATTGAATGTGAAACAAGGTAATATGATACTACAAATTTTAAAAGCTTAAAACGAGGATTAAATACACCGTATTATAACCAATTTTATTCCACCTAATTTCTCTACTTACTAATTTTTTAAAAATTATTAACTTATTTATAGAGAATGGAGATGTTTTGAGTTGGATTGTCTGATTGCTCTCCCATAGGACCATGAGTGTGAGAAAATTGGAAATGAAACTGTGCTTACGCTTGTGAACGAGTGTGTTGTTGCTAGTGCATGAGTGTGTTGTTGCTAGAGCTTGAGTGTGTTCGTGTTCTATAATTCTGTCTTGTGCAGTTAGGTAGTCACCCATAAAACTTGCCACCGTAACTTGGGCTCGGCTTGTGGGATATTGTTATTATTAACAATCAATTTAGATAGTCATCTATACTATACACTCGACTATAGACGATAGTTAGTTAAGGGAACTGTAAGAACACACTAAGACTAATTCTATTTTAATTAGTTTGTAGGTTTTCTGACAGGCATCAAATAGAGTAATACAAGTCATAAGGATTACGAAAACACGACTTCATCACAGAGTACAGCAGGTACCAAACTTGGAGAAGGATTTCTGCTATCATTTACAATAATAACAAAGTGAAGATCGTCAGCGACCAGTTAATGAATCATAATACGTACACAGATAGACTTGATAATCCTGTTTGGCAAACATTATCACTAAAGTGCCTAAGATCTTGCTGGCCATTGAAGTCATTCCTAATATTGAATCGTGAGATTTTAGTTTCTTACTAAAAATGCATATTGCAAATATTGTGCCTGTAAAGTAAAAAAGACATCATTAAAAACCAGATTTCGATATTTTACAGGAGCAACCAAACCATGGCTGAGATTTGCCTCCGATGGGCACCACAGAGGAAGGAATAAAAAGTTCCATACTTTGAAGTACCACATCAGCGCAAGTATCCGCAACAATGTTGGGATCGTCCGGCCCCCAAGGATAGGATGCAAAGAAAGACCGCATCGTATCCCAACCGAATGATATATAGTGCCAAACACGGCGGCAGCCCGCAGAATGCAACTACGATTTCAGCATGAGTGGCACCACACTCCGGACAAGACAGTGGTCCGAAGAGCCTAAAGGGGCGTCGACGGAAATCTGATTTCCGTCTGGATGAGAGGTCAGCAAAAGGTCCAACAGGGAAGGTGCATGATCCTCCACATCTGGAATCCACGTAGGCGAATAACTAGTTGTGTCAGACTATATGCCAAGGCAAAATCATGAACAGATATACCAACCTATATAGAGATATAGACCTATAGAGGCACCCGTAGATGCGCAGATGGTCCTCGCTTTCTACGCGTAGCCAAATGATGGACAGGTCTAAACCTTCAAGACTGCCGAGGCGTCGAGAACAGATGTCCTCTCTGACGTAAACGCAAACTCCAACTTGAGGTACAAAGTAGTGTTTCGGTTTGTACCCCGGGCAGGAGAGACACGAGACATGAGCTGGAGAGCACACCTGTGTCTCGGTCAGAGAAAGCAGAGCTGGCCTCGCCGTGTCGAGATGGTAGTGGACGGCGTTTAGGTTAGAGTGAAGTCCCCTGATATTGGCAGGGGTCGCCTTGGTCGTGTTGCTCCGTGTGCCCCGAGCAGATGTAGCCTTGAGAGAAATTTTGCACCCCCCCCCCCCATAATAGTCGGGGCAGACTGAGCAACCATGCTCAATAGTGTAGTATCTTGGTCGTGGATGCTCAGCGAGGGATTCTCCAGGGGTGCTGGTACCTTCCTGAAGAGTCTAACATTTAATTCCGCTACCATGTTGATGAGGGCGGGAGGGGGGGGGGGGATTCGGCCTCCAGCCACCTGCACTCACCAGATGAAACGCGGAAGCAGAGCTTCCACTTCAATCCGGTATTCGGTGAGGTCGTGGTACCACCCCGGTTTAAGCCGTGCTTACATGCAACAGCAAAGCTATAAGCAGGAATGCTACCAAGCCTGGGCTGACGCATCAACGTCCCGGGATATAAACACCAGCGCTCTATAAAGCAGTATAATTCCGCATCCAGGTCCTTCAAGAGAGTCATTGCCAAGGCAAAGTCAGAGCACATAGGCAGAATTGGCGATAAACTAGTTCGCCTTCCTTCAGGAACCCGTGCATTCGGGTCTCTCGCCAAGGCTTTCCAGGGGAATTTCTGTCAGCCATCTCTTCCATCTCTGCACAGGTAGAACGACTTGCTGGCCCACATCGCAAAGGAGAAAACGATCGACGATTTGCTAGGCTCTTTCTTTGCGTCCAACTCGACTCTCGATGACGGGGGGAGTCCGCCGCCGACCGTCCCGCGGTGTGAGTGCTCCATGCTGGAAGTGCAGTTCATGCAGCGCTCGGTTCGCCAAGCACTCCTCTCCCTGGACATTCACAAGTCGAGTGGGCCTAACGGAATCCCTCCAATTGTGCTGAGGACATGTGCTCCAGAGTTGGCACTGCTTTAAACGCGTCTTTTTCGGTACTTCTACTCCTTAGGCGTAGTCTCAAAATTATATAAGACGGCTTTCGTCCACCCGCTCCCTTAAAAAGGCGACCGCTCAGATCCGTCTAACTACAGGCCTATCACCATCACCTGCTTGTTCTCCAAAACAATAGAGTCCATTGTAAACTGCCAGCTCATGAGGCACCTTGAGGATCACCAGCTTATTAGTGATCGCCAATACGGTTTTCAAAACTCATAGATGGGATGCCAAGCCGGAGGCATTGGCCGTTAGTTTGGACATTGCGAAGGCCTTCGATGGTGTTTAGCACAAAGCGCTTCATTCGAAGCTTCCTTCCTATGAGCTTCCCGAGAAATTGTGCAACTGGATCACCAGCATTCTTGCAGATCGGAGCATCAAGGACGTTGTAGACGGTGCAAGCTCCGATTACAAGCCTATTAATGCTGGTGTTCCACAAGGCTGGCCATGCCAACGCTATTTCTTCTGCATATCAATGATATGTTGCAAGCCTGTAACATTCATTGCTATGCAGATGACAGCACTGGTGATGTTCTGTACACTGGTCTTGCCAATATTTCTCGGGAAAACGTCTCCGAGTACCGGGACTAACTAGTGTCTGAAGTCGAGTCTTTGCTGAACGAAGTCTCGGTTTAGGGGCGACTAAATCTAGTCCAGTTTAACCCTCAGAAGACACAAGTTTGCGCGTTAACCGCTAAAAAGGACCCCTTTGTCGTATCTCCTCAGTTTCAAGGCACTCCCCTTGTTGCCTCAGTCAGTATCGGAATCCTCGGCGTCGACATATCGAGAGACGTGCAGTTTCGTAGTCACTTGGAAGAGAAGGCCAAATTGGCCTTGTACTTGTATGTACTTGATAAGTAATGTAACCATTAATGATGTAACTGTCTAAACTTCTGTGTTAATCAAAAAATATATAAAACTATGATTTTAAGGTAATTACATATTACTTGTATTCATATTCAGATAATATAATAATAGTATATTATTGTGTTAAAATTACGTATGTCCATAGTACGATGTAATCGCAAATTACGCAATTTGGATTCAAAACAAAGGTGTCACAAATCGCTTGCGCTGCTGGGAGTGCAATTTGTATTTTGATCTGTCTGTTGTTATGTTAAAATGATGTGAATGCCAAGAGCAGATTTTTCACGCTTTATAGGTGCGCAGAAAATAATTTTTTGTCATTAAAAACTACGAATCCACATTGATTTTAAATTTATTACGAAAGCTAAAGATTTTTCTTAGTGAATTATGTTGCCTAAAACACTATTGACATATTTAGCTCGATTGAAAAAGATCGCAAAGATTCCTCAAAATTTACAATTTTAGGTACGTCCACTAAGAGAAAAAGCTGTTTCATTCGAATTTAATAAAATCAATTTCAATTAAATTCAGGCTATGTGTTCACCAGTAAATACGTGTGAATTATTGGTAATTATTTTTCAATAAAAGAGTATATATAATTTTATAAAGAAATATCAAATTAATATTGTGGGCCGATCAAACAGTCCTTAGAAAGAGTAAAAAATCTGCTTTTGGCGCCTAATTCACCTTAACGAAAATGATTACGTGGCTTCACAAAGACTTCTTTCCTTTGTTTATCTTAATATGAATGATAATGTGAATGAACATGTTATAATTTATTTTTAGTTTTAGTTCAACTACAAGAATTGTATTCTTATTTTAGGATTCCATCTATGTTAATAATAACACTTAGGATAAATTGCAATCAAAAGGCAGTCAAGCAATAATTGGTTACATATAATCAGCTAAATAAATTTATTCGTTCGATCGTTGTTAGATATTTTAACAAAGGAATAAAGAATCAATTCTTGCGCTAGGATCTCAAGGAGCGATATTTATCCAAGCCCGTAACGGTATAGGAAGTGAGAGGCCTAAAATATAAGAAAAGTATATAGACTACAGTAAGTATTCTAGTATTTATACTGCCTATGGTTAATTTCGCAATGCGATTTAGCCCGCGGCACGTGCGCCAACATAGTCAGTAGTGATGCCGGCTGTACACGCTCGTCTCGTCGCCTCGCCTGCGTCTCGTCGTGTTGAGGCTCGACACGAGAACACACCATATACACACTCATAGTATCATTTGAACTCCGTATGCCCGCTGAGATAGACCTAGATGAAACTGTTGCTGTGTTTTGCCTGTGTGTTATTATTTATTATAGCTTTTTATACATTTACCATAAAAATATAAGCCACGACGAAGAAGAAGATGGTGGATGGTATCTATTTACCGTAACTGAACCATGCACGGTGAGTAGAATGTAGTACGCTCTCATTTTCATCGCGACACTCACGAGATCCTTTGACTCGAGCGCAAAAAACCAACACGCTTCCGAGAGCTACGAGACGCGACCTGACGCGACGAGAGCACCATGTACTCGGACTGTCTCGTGGTATCTCGACGAGCGTTTACAGCCGCCATAAGACGTATGCGCATAGCGGCGTGGCCTTTACTGACAATAATTGATCCATCGCAAATATCCCGCCTTTCGCCCATGCCACCACACGATTTGCGATCACTTCCCGCCAAATCTGCGGGCTTTACCGCCTCCACAACAGACAGGTATCCAAAAAACTGCAGTCTCATGAGTTGTGAAGTCACAAACGGGTAAATAAATATCGCTCTGTGAGCTTTTAGCCTTAATTTTATATAAAATCTTAATAAAATAATATGTTAACTCACCAAAAGAGTGCACGATAAGACTATAAGTCGAGTATATACTGTATTTTATTTCGTCCCAACTAAAACGAAACCGGAGAAATATATACATAATGCTTACTTCACCTAAAAAAAAAATTTGGCAATGTGACATAAATCGTGTAAACTTCCATTACTACTGCTATGCTAACCGTCACTTCTTTTTCAATATACTTTACACCTGGAGGTTAACAAAAAATAGTTCTAAAATTTATAAATAGATTACTCAAAAACGAGATTAATTCCTTTTAAAAGGCCGGCACATCACTTGCATTTTATTTAAGTATTTAGTGCAAGGAGTTTAATTATCTTGCGGTCTTGGGAATTGCCCCACTAAACGTAGGCTGATGATACATTGGGCCAGCAAAACAGCATACTACATTCAAAACAACCTGAGTGTCATTCCAAAGCGAATTCTTTTATTATACACTTAATGAAATTTTACTATAAATCAAACTGCAATACACTGAGAAGGCATACTTTACCGTTTCCCTGTGAATTATATATGAGCATTTTCATTGTTTAACTATTGTGTCTATTTCGCGGATAAGGAACCTGTTAAAAAGAAGTTAGAAGCTCTTGTCTTAGTACAATAGTCACTCACCCGTCTTATATTCTTGTAAGGATGAGCTCAATTAAGTGTGTTAATTATGCCAAAAAGCAAAGTGGCTAAGTGCAACTTTCTAACAAGCGTCAATTTCAGTACGTATGCCTCGTTGAGATATGAAGTTACATGAGTTCGAGGTGGTATTTATAAACAGCATCACGCGCAGGTATTCTGAATTCTCAGGATTAAACTTTCTGTGTGAACTATCAAACATATTCCATAAATGGTATAAACATAATTAAGTTTATACGTTGTAGAGCCACGCTGCAGCTATACTATGGTTGTAGCATGATTGGGTCAGCTCGACCGGAGAAGGACCATTTTACAGAATACTAGCGTATAATAGCAGCTTAATACTGCTCTGTTTCGTATGGTGAGTGTAGAGATCCGGAAACCTTTTTTACTGGAAGAGAGGCATTCCATCTTAGTCTTCAGGGGTGACAACACATCTGCGTTATCATTCTTAATCGAGGATAAATATAAATGTCTAGGGGCCACAGCATCCACTTACAATCAGGTGGACTGTGTGCTCGTTTGTCATCCTTATTCTTTAAAAAAAGTTTGAAAGAATTAAAGAGACGCGCAAGTGCAAAAAAGTTAGTAAAGTTGCAGCCTATATACGTCCCACTGCTGATCACAGGCCTCCTCTCATTTCTGAGAGGCTTTTAGTGCAAGGAAGTGTCCGCCGCGCTGCCCCAGTGCGTATTGGCGAACTTCACATGTCTTCAAAATATTTTTTTTCTTTTTTTTCTTATTTCTCAGACATGCAGGTTTCCTCACGATGTTTTCCTTCACCGCCGAGCACGTGGTAAATCAGCACTTAAAATTGCAATTAACAATTTCATTGGTGCCGGCGGGGATCGAATCTCCAAATGCATGCGGCGAGACTTACGCAACTTTAATACTTCTCGTATTAAAGAAGCGATCGAGCGGAACCAGGGCTCCAAAGTCTTTGCCAGAAATCTGTCTGCCAGAAAGAGCCAACTGTCAAAGCTGAAGACTGAGTGTGGCAACATCGTTTCCGGGACACCTGAGATTTTGAGTGAGATTGAGAGGTTCTATGGGCAGCTGTACACATCATCGTTGGAGCCACACGCAAGTGTGAGTAACGATCAAAGAGCAAGTCTTATCCGACACTATTCCGATGATATCCCGGACGTCAGTCTGAGCGAGATTAGAATGGCTCTCCACCACCTTAAAAACGGCAAGGCCCCGGGCGAGGATGGAATTACAGCGGAGCTTCTGAAAGCGGGTGGAAAACCGGTACTTGAAGTCCTTCGGAAGCTCTTCAATTCCGTCCTCCATGGTGGCACTACTCCGGAGGCGTGGAGCAGAAGCGCGGTGGTTTTGTTCTTTAAGAAAGGCGACAACGCTCTCTTGAAGAACTACAGACCGATTTCCCTTCTGAGCCGCGTCTACATGCTATTTTCGAGAGTCATTACGAATCGTCTCGCACGCAGACTCGACGACTTCCAGCCTCCCGAACAAGTCGGTTTCCGAAAAAGGCTTCAGTACCATAGACCATATACATACCCTGCGGCAGATTGTACAGAAGACCGAAGAGTACAATCTGCCACTTTGCCTGGCATATGTGGACTATGAGAAAGCCTTTGATTCCGTCGAAATTTGGGCGGTGATACAGTCCCTTCAGCGGTGCCAAGTTGACTGTAGGTACATCGAAGTGCTGAAGTGTTTGTACAGTAGAGCTACGATGGCTATCCGAATACAGAACCAGAGTTCGAAACCTATCCAACTGCAGAGAGGTGTAAGACAGGGTGATGTTATATCCCCGAAACTCTTCACCGCTGCGTTGGAAGACGTTTTCAAGCTACTGGACTGGAAAGGATACGGTATTAACATCAATGGCGAGTACATCACTCACCTTCGATTTGCCGACGATATAGTCCTTATGGCAGAATCGCTGGAGGACTTAAGCATTATGCTCAATGACCTCAATAGTGCCTCCCAACGGATAGGTCTTAAGATGAACATGGACAAAACAAAGATCATGTTTAATGTCCATGTCACACCTATGCCGGTAGTTGTTGGGAGCACTATCCTCAAAGTTGTTGACGAGTACGTTTACCTGGGACAAATAGTCCGACTAGGTAAGTCCAACTTCGACCGAGAGGTCAATCGACGGATTCAACTCGGCTGGGCAGCGTTCGGGAAATTACGACATATCTTTTCGTCAGGTATACCTCAATCTCTAAAAACTAGATTGTACAACCAGTGCGTGTTGCCAGTGATGATTTACGGATCTGAGACGTGGTCCTTCACTGCTGGCCGTATGAGGACGCTTAAAGTCGCTCAGCGAGCTATGGAGAGGGCTATGCTTGGAGTTTCTCTGCGTGATAGACTCAGAAATGAGGATATCCGCAGTAAAACCAGAGTGACCGACATAGCCCAACGGATTAGTAAGCTGAAGTGACAATGGGCCGGCCATATAGCTCGAAGAACCGATAACCGATGGGGAAGAAAGGTTCTCGAGTGGCAGCCTCGTACCGGTAGGCGTAGTGTAGGGCGACCCCCACTAGATGGAGTGACGACCTGGTGAGACATGCAGGAAGTCGATGGATGCAGGTGGCTCAGGACCGTGCTTTGTGGCATTACTTGGGGGAGGCCTATGTTCAGCAGTGGACTTGTGAAGGGCTGTAATGATGATGATGATGATGACGGCGGGGATCGAACCCGGTTTGCTCGCGTATTGTGAAATTTACAGCGAGCGCTAACCATCTGAGCTAGCACGGCTTACAAGTGCAAAAAGTATCCAAAATATTTTTTTATAGAAGAGGGGGCAAACAATCATGCGGCTTACCTGATATTAAGTAACTGCCTACGCCCATGATCAACCGCAACACCAGGGGAATTGCAGGTGCGTTGCCGGCCCTTTAGAAAGGAGTAAGCTCTTTTCTTGAAGGTCCCTTGGTCGTATCGGTCCGAAAAAATCGCCGGTGATAAACTATTCCACAGAGAATTCGTACGCGGAAAAAAACTCCTTCTGATACGTAGTGGTGGACTGCCAAGCATCCAGATGGTGTGGATGGTATCGGAACGTTTGCTGCGTAGTACGATCACGAAATTTGGCGACTGGAATTAATCCGAACAATTCCTCAGAGCACTCCCCGTGGTATATGCGGAAGAAAATGCAAAGAGATGTAACATCTCTTCGTAGCGGCAGTGAATCAAGCCGATCGGAAAGCACTCTGTCGTCAACGATTCGAGTCGCTTTGCGCTGGATGCGGTCATTTGGAAGAAGCTGGCACTGGGGAGCCACAGCCCAGAGATGGAAACAGTATTCCATGTGCGGCTGAACCTGCGCCTTGTAAAGTTGAAGGCGGTGTGCCGGCATGAAATACTGACCCGCTCTGCCCAGCACGCCAAGCTTTTTAGTGACCAATGTAGCCTTCTCTTCCAAATGATCACGAAACTGCAAGTCACTCGATATGTTGACGCCGAGGATTCCGATACTGGCTGAAGCAACAGGGGGAATGCCTTGAAACTGAGGAGATACGACAAAGGGGTTCTTTTAGCGGTTAACGCACAAACTTGTGTCTTCTGGGGGTTAAATTGGACTAGATTTAGTCACCCCCAATCTGAGACTTTGTTCAGCAAAAACTCGACTTCAGGTATAATTTTGTCCCGGTACTCGGATACGTTTTCCGCTGCTGTTTGTTGTTTGTCTGTTGATTGTTTACCAGTGCTGTGATAGCACTGGTAAACACTGCATAGCAATGAACGTTGCTGGTTTGCAACATATCAGTGATGTACAGAAGAAACAGCGTTGGTGATAGCACGCAGCCTTGTGGAACACCAGCATCAAGAGGCTTGTAAGTGGAGCTAGCACCGTCTACAACGACTTTGATGCTCCGATCTGCACAGAAGCGCTTTGTGCCAAACCCGATCGATGGCCTTCGCAATGTTCAAACTAACGGCCAGTGCCTCCGCTTTGGACTCTACTGCCGCCTTGCAGTTAGTTCATTCTGCGTAGATCGGACCAATGACAATAATTAAAAAGCTGAAGGACTCCTTGTTAACTTTGACATCTGGACGTCAGTCACCTCAGTCCCCCGTGACCATGGGTGCTGGAAAGCACCCGAAACGTCGGGTATTAAAAATAAAATAAATAAAACGCGATAAAATCCGTAAAAGTAGTTTTTATCAATGTATAGTGTTCGCGTAAATATAAGAAATCATTATGTAAACTCTCTTCAAGAAAAGCCAAACTGTGGGACATTTTTCTTTTTTATTATTTTATGTAATTTATTAAATATAAACGACATAAATATAAAATTAATAACGCACCCATTAGCGGACCACAGTATAAGCAAACACATAGTAGGAGAAGAAAAAGTTTTAGCCTCCGATTACTTCTTCCCTTCTTACACAATATTCCTACAGTTTCTTTAAAACTGTTGAAGTCAAAAAATTCCATAAAGAAACCAATGAAGCCGGTACGCTTTTTCTGAAACATAAAAATTATATTTTATTATTTGATATTGCTCAAAAACACGAGAAACAACCTAATAAAATTTTAGAAATATTACTAACTTTTCCTTTTTTTTCAAGCCACGTATGGTCTTCTATTCCCATATATAGATAACAAATATTAAGTATATGTAAGCCAGCCGCTATGCTAAATGCACAATAATACCCAAGGTATTTCAATAGAACAGCACTGAAACTTATTCCTACGGGAAAACCTATTGTAAAGCATAAATTGAGAATTCCCAGGCGGAAAGTTCTGGTCTTCTTAGACGTAATATCGCATAAGTAGCTAAACGTCCCAAGGAACACTGTATACACACCGCCAGTTAACGATGGAATAATTAAGTCTATTATTGCAGTCCATTCCATCGATATTTGGTAAAAGAAATAAGTATTTATAATATTAAGTATGCAGGTCATTAGTTCCGCAAAAATTGGAAGAAACATGCAAATTTTTCTTCTACCTGTTCTGTCACTCCATGCTCCAACGAAAAGAATTAACAAGGTCGCTACAACCATGTTACCAATGCTCCTCCACGCTTGTACTGAAGCTACCAGTTTCTGTACTTCTATCTCCTCTAAGGTATGATTGTCATTTTTCCTAAGTTGTAAATCCATACACAATTTTTCACTGAATTGTAGATTCACTCTACAGGCTTTGTCTATATATAGGTTTTGGACAGCAAACGATGATAGAGTACTGGCTACTATAAATAGGAACACTATTGGCTCTACAGTTATATTAGATTTCAGATACGTCATTTTCTCCTTCAGTGGCATGGTTTTTAAATCAATTTCTTCCGAAGGCTTGTACAGTAACACTTTTGCGGACTCTTCCACTTGTTTCGACATTTTCCTATCCATTTTAGTATGTTTCAATTTATTTTATAATTATTTTCTAACTTGGAAATTTGACTTCGAGTCTCAAATATTGAACTTTAAATGACTGTTCATTTTACTTAACTGTACGCAATTATATATTTATAAAACTGGCATCTCCTTTTAATAAAAATAACGCAAAGAATACTTTACAGTTGTCATCGACAAATAAAAATTAGTGGTCCATTGTTCTGTTTTATATGAGCTAGATTTCTTTTGTTTAACAATAATTGATAAAACATCTGCAAGCGCACGTAACAGTTCGTGAAATAAATTTATTGTGGCCAATATGGCGTTTATATATTAACACCTAAATAATCTCTCTGATGATTTCGGTAAAGTTAACAAATAAACTTGAATAATAACACCGTTTTTTTTTTCTACATCGTTTATCGACAGAAAACTAAATCACTTTTTTATTACGCTAACCACACTAAAACGTCTATGACTATACTTCTTAGTTATTTTTCACTTCTTCAACTTATTTAGTTTCTTTTCTTTGTTCAAAATACTTCCACCTGAAATATATTATTGGATCAGTCAATGCTATAAGACAATAATTACATGAACGATTTCAACGCCTAATATTAAAACTAAAAAAATATTTCTAGCAAGGACTGCAAAGTTACCCGATCTCTAGGAAATAATACAAAAATATAAAGAAAAGTCTGTCATAGTAGCGTACAAAATTAAATGTTTTGAAGCTGCATTAAAAATATATTTGAAAATATTAATGACACGTTTTATTTGTCAATTTTAAAAATGACTTATAACTACGTTTCTAATCCCCCACGACATGTAAAAAAATATTTTAGCTTATTTACATATTTCCTGGAAAGTCATCTATTATGTACTTTTATTATGTGTGCTATTATTTTAAATAAGATATCGCACAAAACTTATAAAGATTTATTAATACATATATTAATTGGCTCATCAAATAAGGGTTGAAGTTAACGACGATAAAAAGGTACCAATATTTGGTAAGAAATTTTGTTTGATACATATCGCAGCGAAAGAAAAACTTGTCAAGAATAGTTATTACGGTTTTCAGCTAAAAACTATGGCGTCGCATTAGCTCCTACATCGCATAGATAGTGAAGACGGGGTTATTTCCTCTTAACGCACCAAGTGTTACGGGAGAAACATTAGCTAGAAACAATAGGTAGAAGCTGGGGTACATTTCTGCAACATTACTTACCACATTATTTCACAAGCGAAGAAACGCTAACATCAACATCAGTAAATGTAGCGCCTGCGGCGCTTTCTTGCAGAAGTGAGAACTAAACATATGGGATGAGTGCACTATGTTGCAGAAGCGTTTAAGCTTAAACCGAACCTCCAGCCCGGAAGTACGTTATGCTCACAGGCGATTATAGACAGACAAAGCCAGTTATTTAGAAAGGCACACCGGTAGATGAAATGAATGCATTTTTTAAGATGTCTTAGATGCTCCAAAATCCACGACCAGTCTGAGACCGCCTCCCAAGCTTGCCGTGCTCAGCGGTCTTGTGCTGTTCTCTTTCGAAGGTTACCCACTTCCTTCACCAAGTAATCCTTTGTTATTTATACTTGTGGTCTGCCCCTACTTCTTTGGCCTATGGCCAGCAATCCAATATAATCTAGCCATTGTTTGTCACGTAATCGTATGTGTCGATGTAGATCATATTTTTCAACCGATTTCAAAAAGGGGAGGATATTCTCAATTCGACTGTATTTTTAATAACTGAAACCTCTTCTAGGTAAGCCAAATTTTCATTATTATATTTTTACTTGGAAGCTAGTGCTTCTCATGTAGTCTAATAAATTTGATTAAGATCTGACTAGTATACTTTTAGTTATCCTTAATAATGGGTATTTAATTGACTTCGACTACATTGATGACATTCTCATTTTAAATTCAATTATATTTTTTTATGTTACAACTTGTTAAATAATATTATTGAATATAGATTACTATGAGACACATTTCAAGGACCGCGGTCACTCACCGTATCACCGCGCGGACGTACAAAGGAACCAGTGGTTGTATCGGGTATGTGTGCCTGTGCCTATGCCAAAATTCGTTTGTGACGTAATTATGCTATAAATATATAATGAAGCTGGCTTTTTAGAGAACGTCTACCTAATTCCTAGAAAAAACGGGTTTCGTTGAATTTTTGACCAAGCCTGACAAGTAAACGCACAGTCCACGTGCAGGTAAGTGGGGCTACAGCCCATAGATGCGTCGTTACCGCTGAGGAATAAGATGGAATGCCTCATATCCAGTAAATAGGGTCTCTGGATTTCTGCACTTATCATACATACCACACAGCAGTATTAACCTCTCAAAATGCATGCGGTCGGATCCGATCACGGTGATATTCCGTCAAATTCCAAGCAGTCGGATCCGACCACACCCACCCAAACCACTTTAAACCATAAAAACTTATATTTAGAGACCATTTGTCTATGAAGAAGTTTGGCATTATAGGCTCAATGTGAAATGTCCTATTCTCTAATGCAATAAAACGTAGTTAGTCTATTGTTTTTTTTTATTTATAATCTATGTTCATTTCGTACGCCTATTTCGTGTGGCGTGTTGTGTTGATTTTTGGATTGATCTGTTTTATTAGTGTTTTGTACAGTGTTTTGTACAGTGTTTTAGTATAAAATTGTCATAAGAGTTTTTGTGTGAATACAATTTACCTTTTTACGTAAATAATTTCGAGTAATACATAGAAATAATTGTGCAAATTACGCAGCTGTCCTGCGCTGGGTAAGTACATTTTTACCATAAAAATACAATTAAATATATTTTAATGAAGTAAAAGAAATAAAACTAGTAATATAACATAACAAATAAACAGAAACAAGTATTACATTGAAATTTATAACGAATTTTATAGAAAGTTAATGGACGACAAATTAAAGGTTAGGTATTTTAACAACGCCGCGTGACGCGGAGCGAGCGGCTGGTGTCAATTATTTTAGCAGGGGACTGAGGGGTTAAGCTGCTATCTTTCGATGTTATTCATCCATAGTGGTCGGCAGAGACTACGGACTTCCATTTAGTACGATTCTGATAGACCTCTCTCACCTCATTTCCATCCATGTACTTACGCATACACGGTCGCCGGTTAAGGGTACTCCTAATATGGCGCATTTTCAATATATAGCGAACTAAGTCGATAAATTTTCGTCTAGGGACTAGACTCTGCTGTTCACATCTGCAGCACAGATTTGTTTTGTCCTCGTTCATTCTTTCTTACATGACCAAACCATCGAAGCATTCCTTTCTTAACCCTGATCACAACGTCATCTTGCAAACCATACTTTTCTCTTATCACACAATATCCCACCCTGTCATTCAGATTCAGCCCTAACATACTCCTTAATGACCACATTCTTCAGCATTTATTCTATTTTCGTGCTTCTTCTGCCACACCCAACTTTCACTACTATTATTCCATAGGTTACAAAAGATGTTACATAGTTTTATGGACCCTGATGGGCGCAAAAATATTATTTTGTTTTGTTTTATCATAATTATGTGAAATCTTTATGTTTCTTCTCTTTTTTGAGAGTTTAAAACACCACTCACACGGGCTGGAGCCAAGTGTGTGAAGTAAATTTAAATTGTAAAAGTAGATGATAGAGTAGAGGAAGTTAGAAATTTTCGGATGATGTGAGAGGTGTTGAGGATGGTGGCTTTCTGATGCATGTGAAGTGTATGAATAGGCATGTGTAGAGTGTTAGGGCTTTGTGTGAGTGACTTTGGTATAATACCGGTGATGAGAGAACTATCGGGACGATGTGAACTCTTTGTGCTTTCCATTAAATTTTATGTTCTATTGCAAGTTCTTGATATTTACTTAGTTTTTTGGCTATTATAGTTTGTATGTTATGTGAGTTTGGTATTGCTATATGTCTGTTGTGATATTATTATTATTATTAAATAATTATTTAATATTAACATTTATTATATTATTTAAACATACACATATTTAATTTGAAATACGGTTATTATAATTGTTATTATTAATTTATGAATTAATTTTGACATTTAAGGTATTATTATAATTAGTATAATAATTACAGTTTAACTTTTATTAAATTACTTAAATCATTTTAAATATATTAGAATTTTTTATTGTAATTTATTTAGTAGGATGGCATTTTATTATTACCTTACATACTTATATTTACATATCTTTATTACTTTATATTTTTATCTTATAAAAATTCAGTAGTACTATAGTAACACTTGTTTACAACTAGTTGCTTAAATTTTTTACAAATGGTTTTTCGTCTTAAATGTTTTTATATTTTCCGGTAATTTATCATATACTTTCATAGACATGGCAAATGGACTGGAGGAATGAAATTTTAGTTTTGAAGATGGCAGCACTAGTTTATTCCCTGTCTTAGATTCCTAAATATTATGTCATCTCGTTTTGTGTTACAAAATATACACAGGCTTAAAATGTTATACTTCTTAAAGTAAGGCTTACAGCTTTCTGTTTTGTATATAAGCTACGATTCGTATTAGTTTTTTTTTGCGTAGTTAATAAACTTGAGACATCAGTACTACATCCCCATACGACAATAGCTGAGCCATGCATATGCATACGCGTAGTGGGTTGTTATCGCGGTGCTTATATCTGTTGTTTTTGTACTTCTCGTAATGCGTACATAAAGCTGCTTAACTTTCTATATCATTTTTCTATGTGTGGTTTCCAAGTGATATGGGTGGTATCTATTATTAGGCTTAGTAGCGTGTGCTCTTGTTTATATAGTGTAATTTTTTGGCGTTGTTATAACTTTTTTTAATTTTAATTTTAATTTTAATTTTATTTTTTTTTGCAACAATCTGTAAGAATTTTATCATTTGACGATTTTAGAGAAGGACTAACACAGGATTGTGAATTGCCACACGTACTTTTTTTAACACATTCTGTCTTTCCAAAATAAAGTGTAGAGCCCCATTTACTCCTGCATTCACT